CCATTCTCGCCTTTTTCAGTAATTTTCTCGCAGGAAGTACGCGACAAGATTGTTGTCGATGATCTTATTCAACACGCGATGAATAATTTAAATTTGGAATTAAAAACTGTTGCCTATCGTCGTGCATATGCCGAAAACAATCAAAACCGTATATTGATATTTGTTGAAAACAGTGAATCGTTCGTTTTCTTATACGATCGTAGTAACTGGCCTACAACACTAGCAGGGTGCAATTTTACAACGAAAACTCCGTCGATCCCACCGCAACTCTCGCTAGTTCTACCGTCAGTCTCGTTTCAAATATATTGGGATAAATTTGTTCAAGAGATTAAAAGTAAATGCGTGGATATCGTTGATATAATTCGCTTAAAAAATAAAGCCCAGCAACCAGTACGAGCAGTCAAACTTGAATTTAAATCAATTAAATCTCGAAATGAAGTATTAGAAGCAGGACCAATTTCAATCATGCATATGAAGCACAAAGTCATTGAATATTATTCCCAAGCTAATGTCTTAATATGTTCCAATTGTTTCGGAATTAGGCACTTCCGAAAGAACTGCTCGCAGAAGGAAGAAGTTACATGTAAAGTATGCGGTGAAAAATGCTCAAATCTGAAAGATCATCATTGTTCAGGCGTGTCAAAATGTATTCATTGTGGTGGGCCGCATAATTCGAATGACGCAAAATGTCGTGTGGTGAAAGACTATCGAGCAGCTCTTACTCGTAATCTTCTCTCAAAAGCACCATCTGTCAACGGCGAATATACAAACTGTCAACCGTCACTAGCCGATTTTCCTCAGTTGACTGCTGCACTGGGTCGTGCACCCTATTCTACAGTCACTCAAATGATGCCTTTAAACTCAAATGATGTAATATCCAAGAAGCTGGATAGTATTTTAACAAAAGTTGAAGAAGAATCTGTAGCAACTCGTTTGGTGTTCGATGAATTAAAAAAAGAAATGATAGCGCGCTATGAAGTAACGAAGCAACAAGTTGATGAGCTTGAAAAAAAGGTGGGAACAATGGAAACGAAATTTCAGGAACTAAGCAAACAAGTATTTACAATAATGCAGAACATCTGTACGTCTCTATTGGATCCACAAGGTGCACAAAATGCTAATTGGAAAACCTACTGGCAGGAACAAATTAGAATATTATCAGAGCTTAAAGTACCGTCGTCTAAATCTTCATAATGTCCGAGTCTGTTGTCGATAATTATGGACTTGATATTAAAGCATCTCGTTTTTTAGATTCTGCTCGAAATACTATCTCACGTAAAGACTACTTTATTCTAAAACAAATTTTGGCCGAATGGCATTCATCCACTACATTCAACCAACTGCGTTTTAAATGGGAATCATATAGTAAACTATCTACTCAGTCACCCCTCAACTTCATACACATTCTATGTTTCAATGTACGCGGTATTGATCTTCGTTGGGGTGAAGTTTGCCTACTTGCTGCTGCACATCGATTTGACATCATGATATTAGGTGAAGTCGGACGGTTTGACTCATCTCTTATAGGGTCTGTATTTTCTAACTACCGATACTTCTACCATTCTGGAGAAAATACACATGGGGGCATTTTAGTTCTCGTCCGCATGGGTATTCCCACGTCTAGAGTAAGTTGTCCGTTACCGAACGTGTGCACTGTTGATGTACATCTGGAAGAATCCATTAGAATTATTGCTGTATATGCTCCAGAAAGTAAATCATGGAAATGGTCGGATATGTCTGGCCTCATCACATCTCATTGCGTCATTATGGGCGATTTTAATGTAGATTTAGAAAAAGATGGCGGCAAGGCGGAGTGTTTACTCGAATGGATGGACAGTTATTCTCTTGTTCCGACTGTTCCAAATACTAATACATCACTTCGATCAAACAGAATTATAGATTATGCACTTTCATCAGGAGTTGACATGACGGTCCAAACATATGAAGGTGACACAACAAGTGATCATAAGCCTCTCCTGTGTGTGCTGGCATGTGAAGGAAAAGAAAACAAGGAAGGTTGCAAAACAATATGGCCTATCTTCTCTCTTTTTCTAACATATACGTTTGATTTTTGGGAGAAACAATGGAGTTACGGCCACTATGACGAAACGTATGAGCACTTTATTACGTTTTTATCGCTACTCACAGCTCGATGCACGTCGTACTTTCCACTCAAAAAAGCTCGACCTGCGGTACCATTAGAGCTTCGGTTACTTTTGGCTCAAAGCCGTACTCTTTCTTTTAAGGCAAAACGAAAAGGTGATGTTGCTCTTCGTCGTGAGGCTCAGCGCCTAAGAAATGTAGCGCGATATGAATTGAAACGATTCCAACAAGATCAGCTGGCCAAACAACTGAAAGAACGTCACATACCAGGTGAGGGTTCTACTTTATTTTGGAGTAAAACAAAAAGGCATTTTAGAACCACCTCGTCGGCTTTAAAAGGTTTATTACTACCTAATGGTGAATCAACCAAAGATCCTCAAACAATGGTGAACATGGCTGCTGACTACTATGAACGTCTATTTGCCGCTCCAGAAGTGATTCGACCGCATCCTTACGTCGATGCTCCGGGAATGCAATGGGACAATGTTCATGATCCGATTCCAAACGTAACGTACCCAGAAGTTCTGAAAGTGCTAGCGACGAGAAAGAAAAAACGTTCGTGCGACATTCATGGTCTCTCTCCCTTCATGCTGGAACAGATACCTCGACATTATTGGAATATGCTAGTACATCTTTACAATTATTCTTTCGCTACTAATTTTTTACCGAAGAAATTTAAAGAAGTACGAATGATTCTTCTAGCAAAGAAAGACGCCATTTGCCCGCCTGATCAAACAAGACCCATTTCGCTTCTCGATTCTTTTCTGAAAATACAAGAAAGACTTTTCCTCAATCGTTTTCTTCAAGTTTTAAAAGATAGAGGTATTCTACCTGAAAATCAATCGGGTTTTCGAGCAGGTCATCGCCTGCAGACGCGTGTGCTTCTTTTAATTGAACAAATATCCTCTTATATGTCCAATAGTGCACCGGTGGCAACTGTCTTTGTCGATTTTAAATCAGCGTTTGACCAACTATGGTTTGAAGGTTGTCTCGGTAAGTTGATCCGATTAGGCATTCCAGTAGCATATGTGAACTGGATACGAGCGTGGTTAGAGGGGCGTCAAGGAATAATAGAGATACAAGGTAAAAGATCGAGGTGGTTCTCTATAAAACGTGGTGGTCCACAAGGTTCAAGCTTCACACCAACTCTTTTTATCACCTACCCTAGTGATATGGCGAACTTTCTACCAACAGCTATGTCGTTCTTCTTCGCAGACGATCTTGCTGCTGTCGTGGCTGGACAAATAGGAATTAGATTCACAGATCAATGCATAGACTTGGAGCGTCGACTGAATTCGATGCTGGAGAATTTAGAATTCTACTCGATACTGACGGTGCAACCTATTAACTACTCAAAAACCCAGGCTATGTTCTCTGCTCGCGCCATCAACTATCCGAATCCGATGCCGGTACTACGATGTGGAAGTCTCACTATCGAATGGATTTCATCGTTTAAGTATCTCGGCTACTGGTTAACAAGCAAGTTAGGATGGGGGAACGTGATAGGAAGATCCCGTCTGAGAATCCGCCAACAGACAGGATTAGTCAACTCAATAAGGTTTAGTGGTATATCTTCAACAGCTCTACGACGTGTCTTGTTCTCTACTTTCGTGTTGCCTTTCTTTACGTGGTTATTCGCTCTCTATCCCCTGTTCACCAACTGCCAACAGTCCGGGGTTAATCACTTTTACTATACGTGCCTTAAACGGGTTCTACGATGCAATTATTGGGATGATTTCTTCTTTGCGTCTGCTTTTCATGAACGTTCACTGGATGATTTATGTTATAATTATTGGGAAAAATACCTTAAGGCACTGAGTAATTCACTTGATGGGCGTCTCTTAATAGAACAATCATTTTTAAATGCGCACAGAACTCGATGGCATGAAGGTGATTCAAGTATTCGATGTGTACGAAGATCAAAACGATTCGTACCTCACATAGATGTGTTTGCATTGGCTACAAGATGGATGGTATGGCATGGCACAGGGGACTCAGTGGTATCGCTAGATAGACAAGAGTATCTATGTTTTGCCGAATTCCCTGAAAGCTTCTAACATTTGGTCTTTTTTTTTTTTTTTTTTTTGTTGTTTTTTCTTCTCTCTTTTTCTTTGTACTCATCGTTCTCCTTTCTTTTTTTTTTTTTCTGTCTCCTTTTTTTTTCTTTTTTCTTATTATAGTGGCTAACGTAGTCTCTTTGTATGCTAGTTACATGTCCTTTTAGGACCGCCAGGGTCAGAGGGTTAAATTATGCATTACAATAAAAAAAAAAAAAAAAAAAAAAAAAAAAATTTCATAACTTGTAAAATAGATTAAAATTTAAAATTAATTGGCTTGATAATAAACTCTGTTCCGGTTCTTTGGTATAATCATTACAAAAACTATTTTAACGTTAATTCACAGATATTTATTTAGCTTTGTTCCCGTTTTTATGTGTTATTTTATTGTAAGTTTCAATGTGCACTTCGTACTTTCCTTGAAAATGATTTAATAAAAGTTGAAAAAAATAAAAGATTAAATCAATAATATACTTTATGAATTATGTATCATGCTTATTATTTTTTAGTTCTATTAAGATATTGTTATTTTCTATATTATAATGCAGTTTTACTTCGATAATGTATTCAATTTAACAGTAGCCCCTGTTTTATTTAGAATGATATATCAATAACGAACATGAAATGATTATGGCATTTACATTTGCATCGTGAGAAACAAACCTTCATATCTTTTTCACATAGAAAAATAACAACGAAAAAGTTTTAATGGTTCTATCATGAAAATATTCTTTGCACATGAACAGAAAGATCATCTCTGATTTTGATAAATTTCAATTATTATTAGTATGAGATTTTTTTGTTTATTAAAATTCATGGCTTTGAATAACTAAATGTTTATTTAATATGAAACAAATAAAAGCAAAGAGAAAGAAAAAAAGATTATCTTGAGAAGAACAGTAATTGTTTGATATGATAGTTTTTTATTTTAAATAAAGATTTATTAGTCAACATGAAAATATTTTTTATCAACAAATAATTCACCTGTTGATGAATTCATTAGTTTAATGTTCTCGATCTAATGAATATAATAGGAAGATCATACTTTTTTGAAAAATTTTAATTTAACATTTATTCTTATCAATAATCGATAATGATAGAGAATATTTTATAATCATGAAAATATTAATGGATTGTGTTTCTATTCTGCTTCAGTTACTGTTTTTCTTTTCGTTTTTCATCACTGAAACTTTTATTCACAACGTTCCCTTTTTGTGTTTCAATATTTTCTATCGACGTTTCTCTTTGATTATTACTCATTTGAAATAGATATTTTCTCTTGTTGTTTTTTATTGTACAATATGGCTTTCACTTCTTGTTCTTATAATTTCTGGAGACTTGTCTAGTTTTGAAAACTTGCTATATCTTGAAGATTTACTGGCTTGTCAATTATGAATTGCTATATTTTTTTCACTGTCAACTGCATTGTTTTATAGTTTTGTATTTTTTACATCTTAAAGTATTTTTTTTCAAATTAAATTTCATTCAACATTTAATTCGAAAATACTATATTGTTTGTCATTGAATTGTATATTTACTTACAATCTATTACATTTGATTAGTTAGTTAATTTCTATTAGTACTTATTACAACACCAGCATGAGCAACATTAAATATATTCTCGTATTTTCCTCAACAATGTCATTATCTGACATCATTTAGAAATGTTCATGGTTTTATTTATTCATTATAGTATACTTATGTGACATCTGTATTGATGATAATATATATTAATAGTCGATTAGTTATCTTTATATATCAAGCATGCAATTCCAATTATGAGTCACGAGCAAGACGAGAAATAATAATTGACAAATTTAATTTGATTGTCATTACCGTATTAAGTTTGTATGGAAATCAGATATTTGTTTTGTAGAAGTCACAGATTTGACGAAGGAAAATAGTATGTGTAAGTTATAAGATATGATTTTTCGATCGCCCCTCATAACAACCTTGGTCAAAGCATATAACGATACAGATATAGATTAATGACAATCATAGTAGGGATATCAAAGTTGCTTGTAATAGTTTATTCAGTAACTGAATTTAAGATCAATAGGTAAGTTTACATAGGAACTAGAAACAACAGACACTAGACTCTTCTCCCATCATTTTCTAGCAATGGAAAGAATGCGCTGAACGTCATAGAAAAAGTGGCTTAGACGGTTCGAGAATATTCGAAAGTTTTCTTTAAAATTTAATTGGCTGAAATATGATTTTGATCATTCTAAATAGCACAACTTCTGATGTTGGTGAAAGATAATTGATTATATAACAGATACCAAACCTAACGGTTTATGATATATTGATTTGCATGCAGTCATCATATGCGAGCAATATTAAAAGTATGAACAGATTAAGTTATACATTAAGAGTATGGGTGTGGTTGTTTGAATTGAGAAGAGATAACGTGCTTCCACAAACACAGTCAACCGACATCCACACATTGATTGTTTTTATTCCATAAACAATAATATTCACTTGTTTGTATCATATAGTTTCGACAAAGAAAACAATTCTTTTGATGATCATAGCTATAGATAATATTTTCTATAACAATCGATAAACTATTTTCTTCTATTCAAATAATATTTAATTGTTCTGAATGTTTTTGTAAGGTTTGATTTTTCATAAATAATTTCGTTCAATGGCTTTTTTTATTTATTTATTTTTTTGGGATAAAGACTTACAGAACAAAACTAGAACAACAGTCAACTATGGTTATAGGAATTTTAGCAAAAAGTGACAATCTATGTTACAACAATCAAAATTTTCACGAAGAAAAGAAGAAAATGTCATCTGGAAAAATCAGTGAAAATAATACATAACACTTATTATTAAACAAATCCAACAAGCTAGAATATTTATTCTAAATCGGCTGTTATTACAAGGAATAAATTACGATATCGTCCTACCTAGAATTTCAACAGAAAAATTTTCAAGGATATTATCTAATCTTATTGTCAACACAAATAAGGAAACTAACTGATGAAGCAAAAAAAACCAAAACGATGAGGAATAGTTTAACAAAATACAATTGAATTAGTAATTGCAAGTAATTACAGCAATTTAGGAGATGTTATCATTTGAGTCTAGAACGTTCGAGTTTCGAAATACTACCTTCCAAATACTTGAACTCACAACATTTATACACTTGATAAGTCATCTTCAATTCTGAATAACTTTTAATCAATGAAATTTCAGAATTGTTAAAGCTATTACTGTCTGGAAGAGCACAAATTTCATCATAGATGAGGCACTTCAGCTGAGTTTATAAAAATTATAAGGTTTATTTCTTATATTTAAACAGACGAACAAAGATAACCTTTGATGGCTAGTTTCACTTTAAAACGAAGTTATAAAGTGTTATAAAAGATCAGCATATGCTTTTTTTTTAGTTTTGTATTTGTTGATTATTTTACTTATGAGATCATAGTTAGAAACGGTCTGCCAGTTTGTCGGTTGTTTCCTGTTGAAATTTTGAAACAGTAGTTTTCAATATCTTTTTTCTATTCACTTTTACAGCACTAAAGCTAATCTATTTGACTCGTTTGTAATGATTTGCATGGCTTTTATGATAAACAGATATGAGCTTCGAAATTTTCAACTGAAAAATTGACAGTCATTGTCAAAATCCTAGCACTACATATTGGGATCACACTTTCTTCCAGTACGATGAAGGCTAAGGATCATGCTGAAAGAATTGATTATGCTTAAGAAAAGTTAGCCAGGTGCTAGAAATTGATTTCGGTCAAAATTAAATATTTTTCACTTCGAAATTTCGAACTCACTTTTCTATATTATTTATGATTGATTCTCATAAAATTCCAATAGCTGATAGTTTTTATTTCATGCTTTCATTACAAAATATCAGAAAAGATTCCGTTTTTCCGATAAGATCGTGCAAACTTCTACCATCGTGCAACTATAAAAATATTTAGACATCAAGAAACTTTAAGACAGAATGTCTACTATAAAAGTCGTACGTTTCAGCTCGCATTATGTTCCTGTTGACAATAGTATCTTTTTACGAATGAGATGTCTTTCACTTGTATTAAATAATTATTTCAGATAAAAATTGATCAATTCTTATGAAGACATCTAATCATTATTAAAAAAAAGTCAGCCAACGCTTAGTGTTGATACTGTCCAATATTAGTTTCTAGGTGAAACGTTTTGACAGAGTTCTATATTCGTTCTTAATGTCAGAACATATGAGATGTGACATAAAATAACAGGAGTTCTTCCTATTAGAAACTTCTACAGTTATATGAATTTTATATTATATGTCTTCGTAGAACTGAAGTAATAGACTGTTTCTTGCAAGAACTAATTGATTAATTGATGTATTAAACAGAGCAGTTCAATGGAAAAAAAATTCTACTGGTTTTAAAATATGTATTAGATCTTGTCTGTACTGTTAATTTAATTCGAACCTTAGTAACACTATCAGCCAGCCATGTTTTCAGTGGTAATGTGGCTAAGATTCAAAATAAATTATGTAATATGCACGCAATCATATGCTGACATACAAAGAATGTTAAGTATTAAGAGTTCAGATGTTTGAACACTGATAATTCGAATCTCAAATGTTCTAGACTCAAATAATACATCACTGAATTCTCGTAGCTTACTTGATAACACTTCGAATCCTAGATTGCAAGTCATATTGCAAAAAAATCTAAACAAATCAAACATCGTTTTGTATTTTGTCCGACCCGATATTATCCAAGTTTCTGATTACGCTAATTATTGGTTGGATCTTGAGGTCTATCATCAGTATTTGTCTCATTCGTTGATGGAGTAATATTAAATATTGTTTGATCTGATTGTGTTTCATTATTTGGTGGCATCGTTAATGCTATGAGACGATTTGCAGGTGACGTATTGGTTTGTTGAGATTACTGTTGTGATCTTCGTTCAGCTTCTTGTTTAATCATTAATTGTTTTATGTGCATTGGCAAACCAGGATTAAGGCTCAATGCATGTGGTAGCAATGTTTTTGGCATATCACCAAAATCAACTATTACTTTAATAAACATCGTATCCTCTCGTAGATATGGATTACCTTCTTGTTGAATCATCGTCAATGGAAAGAATTTGGGTATACCACTAGCAATGTTCATTTCTGATCGTGGTCTTTGAAAACTATTCGACTTAATATCAGGCCGAAAAGAATCGATAATGTGTTGTTCTTGATGAGTTTGATCATATAGACAAAATGTAACTTTATGATTGAAGGGAAATTTTAATATTGTATCATTTGGGCCACGCATAAGAACAAAAAATAATGACATATGTGTACGTCGAGCATTACCATCGCCATTGAGATAAAGTCGGGCTCGCATTTTATAGCCAGTTGGTGATGAATAAAATGGAGGTGAATGAATCGAAGTTTGTCGTTCAGATTGAGCATCGACTACAAAATACAAAACTCAATGAAAACATGTTCTTAAATTTTATCTTTCTGTTTTTTTTACTGTCAAGGACAGGAAAAAGGTTTGAGTGAAATCCTACAAATATTTCAGTCTAAAAAGTATCAAAAAGGCTCTGCTGTTTTCTATCAATAAAGATATAGTCATTAGTCGACAAAGAAACTCAATTGTCTATTTCAATGATACAATCTTGGGTTTTTTTAAACTAAACTTACTCATTTTGTCGTGAAAACTGGTTATTTTCCATATTAATGTTCCATCGTAAGATACATATTGCATATCATCAATTTTTTGTTTCAGTGATGTAACACCTTGTTGAAGAATATATTGTTTTGGTTTAATTTCATCTAAAAAACAACGTCGTTCTTGAATACTTAATTTGATCAATGAAAATTCTTTTGTTAAAGATTCAATTGAACTTTGTAATAGAATTGATTCACTCCTTATACGTTGTGTATCATCATTTAGTGTTTGAATTCTACTAGCAAGATTATTTATTGTTTCACAATTTTTTTGAATTTGGATACTGCTATTTTGATTTGTTGTCGTAATTATTGAACTAGAAGCACCTTGTTCTATATCAACATCCATTCTTGATACTCGTTCATATTGTTCATTTATTCCTCTCGATTCTAAGTAACGTGTAATACTACTAGTTATTACTTGTTGATGAATATCACTCAAATAGTGCTCTTGTAGTTCACTTCGACAGACCTAAAGAAATCGTAAAATAATATTTGTTTTATTAGGTTTATGAATAAATATAAAAAGATAATAGTCTCAAATATTACTTTTAAAGTTAAACCCTTAATATTTTATTTTAACAAAATATAGAATTCATCTATAATAATCATTGTTTTAGATAAACTAATAAGAGAAGACTCAATTTGATTTCAATTTAAATATTACTCAATTGAGAAATACTAATCTTATTTATTTATTTTTGGTTATCTTGGAAATAGTTTGTTTGAATAAATTCAACTTACTGAAGTCAAACAACCATATTGATGAAGCTCACACGCTACAGGAATTTTAATGCATTCTTTTTGTTTGTGTTCGTCACAGTTAGTCGTTGACTTAAATATTCCCTGACAAAATTCACACATTAGAATTATGTGATCATTTTGAAGATGTTCCTGAAATAGGAATTCATTGTAGAATGAAAATATATAGAAAGCTTTATTTCAAGTTGCAAAATTAAATCATTTTTTCAAAAATTCACTTCTTCTGATATGCATTGTTATTGTAATAAAAGTAACTTTCATAAAACATGATTGTTTTACCTCGTAATGTGTATATAAATCCTTCCATTGACATAATAAACATGGAATTGATAACGATTTCATACAATCTATGAAATCTTGATCAAGCTTTATCTTTAGAAACAAAGAATTATTTGCTAAATAGAAAACAATTTCAAAAACTGACTTTGTGTTTTGGTGATTCTTCATCACATTGTTTACATTTGATAATATTCCTTGATGAAAGAAATACAATATTCAATTAAAATTTAATAATTTATTTCTATATACCCTTTAATATTTTCTCGACATGTTTTACATAGACGATGACCACATAAAAGTTGACAAGCTTCTCTTAAAATGAGACAACATACTTGGCAAATGTATGATGGATCAACATTGTCTTTATTTATTTCATAAAAACCACACATTCTTGAACAATAATGTAATATGACAACTAAATATTTTCTTGAAATTTCACTTGCATAAAATCTGAGATGTCAATCTCTGAAATGATTTATTATTGAAGTTTTATTAAAATATGAATTATTTTCTCAAACACTAAACTTAATCTTAGTAACTCTAGTATTTCTATAAGATTGACTTTGAAATTTTGTAAAAAGAATTTCATAACACTTCTGAAACGAAATAAGAAATGCCAATTACTTTGAAAAGAAACGAATCTATATATTTAATTTCAAAATAGTGTCACACTGTACGCGATATTTATCTTTTGATCATTGCTTGATCAAAAAACATTGCTAAAATCAAAAATTTCTTCTAAAGTATTTGGCTAAACTGAAAAAAAATAAGTGGTCTTTTGATATCGTTGACTAAAGTACAAATAAGGATGCTTTATTGTTTACTCAAAGACTATTTTATTAACTGTAATATATTTGTCTTTGTCTTTTTTAGATCCCATTATCAGGTTTCTGTTGTCTTGTTTTTCATGTGTTTATTCTCGTAACATGTGTCGTTGATAATTTTTCTCTTTTAATCTTATGGAATACATTCTGACCAGATATATTATGCAATCTTTATCTTTTAGTTAGAGTATTCAATTGCCAATTCAACTTAGACTAATGTAACTTGATTGTCTTCTCACAAAAGTAAAGGGTAGAGGGATCTTTGAACCATAAAGTCGCTTCTCCATCTCCACAAAAACTGAGCTGATTGCTGCTGCAATATTCAATTGAAATGTCACAATTCGATCGTCGTTCGAATCAGATCATCAAACGTCATTCGACTGCATGCCACTGACTCAAAACTCAATATCATCGATCTTCTTCAGCATTGTGCTATGCAATGTTTACATTTATTCCTTCCCTTTTCTTTTAAATGGCTTTGTTTCTTTGTATATACAGCGTGAAGACAGTCATGGCAAAAGTTGTCTCCTATTGGACTGTGAAAACAGCGGTTTACTTTGAACTGTAGGACACTTTATAGGCTTTTAAAAACTCTGCAAAGTCATACTATTGTGTTGAGTTTAAATGGTAAGCAAGGCACTTTTATCAAATCCACAATGCTCGTGAGTGTCTAAAGTTACCCTTTTGTGACTGATAGTTGACGAACTCTGGTCATAATAAACAGACTTCTTAACAAAACAAATAATATATTTAAGATTAACATAAAAACCGAGTTCATGTATATGTGTCGTAAAATCCTGCGACAAGTTTTACTTTCGTCTAAAAGTTCAGCAATGGGTTCCCCTTAGGGCTACGTCGAAAAACAAATGCATTCAATGCATTGCTTTTATCAATGATTCACGTGTCATTTTTGTTTTTCCTAGAGTTCTAAAAAGTTATATGTGACTTTTCACAATCAAACTGACTTTATTTTTCAGCATAATTCTGAAAAGAATCGGGGCTAAATTTTTGATGGAAAAATGAAAATTGATGCACTATTTTGTGCCATACATAGATCATCTTCGTTTTCATACTAATTTCAAATATATCATTTATTTTGATAGAAAGCCTAAGTATTTTGGTGCATATTGGTCAAATATCAGTCAACAAGAGCAACTTTTGGTGTGTTCGAACATTGTGCGTTTGAGTGAAGTGTCTTGGACAGGAATTAAGCCTCGTGGAATAGTAGCATTTTGTAGAGTTTCAAAAGGCTTACCGAATAGTATATAATCCAAAGTAAATCACTACTTTCATAGTATCATAAATGAAAAATCTATTTATGGAAATCATCATACTATATATGCGACGGAAAAATGTCATCTAAAGACGAAATGGAAAGAAGAATATGTTGTCACACTTCTATATACTCTTCGCTAGCGCAAGCAATGAGCTTTCATTTGCAATAAAAACTTAAAATTAAAAGTGTAAAAAAAAATGCTAGAACAGCTTTTCATATAAAAATTGCATACCATGACCCAATCAGGAATAGATAATATTAATTTATAAGTCAATCGTGAGCAGTCAGAATGAAGAGTAACTGAATTATTAGAACGACAATTTATTCCTGAGATTCGAATTGACTATTTGATGAACAGGAAATCCATCTTGGAGAGAGGACCGATTTCATTGCTTGCCAATCTCCTTCCTCTCTTTAATTGTGCGTGAATTGCTCGTACATAAGAGTAATTCTGATTCTGTAAAAGAAGGTATTATTTAATATCGGAAAATCGATATATCGTCATTTTTCTATGTAACATATGGATTCGCACTAAACAGATAATTATAAAATGCTATGAGAGTGAAAAGTTTTCAATTTGTTTTTAGCGAAAAAAGAACTGTCGTATGTGTTTTGTTTGAAAACTGATTAAAATTCTTAAAATATATATTTTATATTCTGACATATTGAAGTAAATATCGATTAAATTACTCAGCATTGTATTATTTTTATTTCGATCTAATATATATATTTGAATCTATACGTATGCATAAATTATATTCTTTCTAATGAATATAAAAGTAATTCAAAGAAAACAATTACACTGACAGTGTGGGCATGTATACGAGTCCTCTCTTGCTCTACGCTTGCGTTCACATGAACTACTTTTCCTAAGATGAAAGTTTCTCAAAATCAAGACGTTTACCTCCACTCTATAGACGCATGCAATTGTGTTTCATACTTCTACGTGCCATTTCCATCCTAAGTTCATGACGGAGTTTATCTGTCAAAAAATGCATGAGAAAAAAAAAACCGTACAAATAATGAAGCTTAAAATACTACACGTTCGAAATTTTTTCTATTGAAAAAATTTCATTTTCTCTGCTTAAATTTTTTGTTTCGTGTTTTCTTTTATTTGATATTTATGTTTAGTTTTATAGTAACGAATATACAAAAGTACATCAATTCATCGACAACATCCGAAATCAAAGAAAAATAAAAAGAACATAAGAAAGAGAAAAACATTCATGGTAAGCGCAAAAATAAAAACATTAATCGAAACTGTCTTGAACGATTTTAGTATGAGGAAAATAATGCAATACTATCTTCTAGAATCTAAGAGTTTCAATAATTTCTTGACTTTGAAACGAAAATATTTCATAAATATAAAAAAGTATATTGGTTACATTTTATTTTTTTAATAGCCCAAAAATCGATAAAGATTATTCCCTAAACATCATAAACAACAAGAATTGTTATTATATAAAAAAGAAAAAACAATTACAATAGCATATTGCACCAAAGAAAGAGTCAACATTGAAAAGAAACAAACATAAATCTTTATGATTGATTCAATACAGTCGAGGATTTAATAAGATTAATAGTCGAATTAATTCAACAATTTAATCTAAGCAATCTTTGACTTCAGAATTTAGAAAAATCTGTTCGATACCTAAACCCAAAACAAAAATAATTCTTAAATAACATTTATCTCAATCAAATCAGAATCGAACTTTGTCTATTTGTCGATTGATTCATAATCCAAAAACTGAAATAAAATAAAATATTAAACAGATGCATTGACTCTTAGTGCAGTTTCACTATTGAATAGTCAACAAAGTGTTAAAAATGAATGAAAAAATTAAAATTTAAGTCTTATCTTTCGAACTAAAAGGATCATTAAAGATTTTTCTTTGTTTAATTTTGAATTTTAATGCGAATTAGTTTCTACATATAGATTTAATATCTGTAACATTTATCATGCATTAGTCGAGAATTACTTTTTTCAGATATGAATACATTTAATTTTTTTCTCATTCGACATTAATCTTGCGTTTCTGTAAGAAAAAAAATCTAATGTACATAGAGACGCAAAAAAAAAACATCGCAAGTGTCTTCTTTGGCAACATACCTGATTACATAAACATTCAACTTCAATTTCTGTCATGAATAACTATGAACCACATGAGTATTAGTTCGGTATATATATATATATATATATACTCAGAACTGTATATTGATTTGCCTCTTTTTTCGTTTTCTAACAACTTATGCTTTAAAAAAAATCTTAAGTTTTGTTTTTAGTAATAAAAGAAAGACAAGATTGAGACGCCTACAAACAGACTCTCTTCACCATGTATACACTCAACGCACTCTTCGAAAAGATATTTAAGCACCGAATGTAACAACAAATTATTGGAAAAAATTCTTTGTTTGATATTCAATTTAAGAAAACTTCCAACATGAAAATCAAAAGAAATAAAACAATGAAAATCATGTTTGTGCTAAACTGAATATCTGTTCATCAGTAAATACAAAATGCTAAAAATAATATTCGACATTATCGAAAAATATAGACCTACAAAACACAAAAAACAATTTTCTCAATGTCAATCGATGGCTTCAAGTAAGTTCACTTAATCAACTTGAACACCATTTTATTTTCGTTATATATAACATTATATATCATAAAAAAGAAAACTATTTGTAATTTTATGACTTGACAATGAAAATGGTTCATTGCTATTAAACCAGTTAGAAATAGGGTAACTACCAATGTCATACTTGGAAGCGGTCGAATTTTTTTCACTTGGATCCGATCGTCTGAAATTGTTAACTTAACCGATGAAAAATTGGCGTTCTTAATATATCAATTAAGCAATCAGTTCTTTCGAAAAACAGAATTACTTCAGTTCTATGGAGACGTTCAATGTAAAACTCATATAACTCTTCAAATTTCTAATAATAACAAGTTTAATTTTAGTCTGTCACGTTTTATATGTGTTAGCATTCAGAACGAACCAAGATTTCTTTCAAACGATTTCATCTAGTAATTCACACCAACTATTACTTTAGCTTATATTTAAATTTAAAATATAAATATTAGTTAATTTAAAATCAAAATTAAAATTAAGTAACTGATTTTAATTTTGATTTTTTATTGTATTCGATTATGATTCTTGATCATTTCTTGTTGCGTTTGAATTCTTTGGAACTTATTTCTTTTACGAAAACAATGCAGATTAAAGTAAATAAATTGAAAAAAAACTAAAGGTTAGTTTCGCCTGTCTATCCTCATTCTTTCTTAGCT